GCTTACCCATCATATGTACCTCTCTGACGTTTTGATCCAATCTATCTATCTATCTATCTATCTATCTATCTATCTATCTATCTATCTATCTATTTTTTTCTCCCCCTCTCCCATTTCTCTCTCTCCTCCCCCCCCCCTCTCTCTCTCTCTCTCTCTCTCTCTCTCTCTCTCTCTCTCTCTCGTGCTCGTACGCTTGCACATGCACACTCAAACACACACACACACACACACACACACACACACACACACACACACACACACACACACACACACACACACACACAAACACATGGTAGTATGCCATTCTAATGCAAGCAGAAAAAAAACATGATTAAATGTGTCAAGATGCGGTGAAGTCAGGCGCTCGTCAATTTTTGGGCATGTGGAGTTATTAGTATCATCTTAAAGGTTGTTCATTTATTATGATTTTAGCGCAAAAAATACTCATATATCTTGAATAAGAATCGAAATATTTGCGATTGAAGGAGGTGGGGTTGCTTGGTTTCAGAGGTAAAATTGGTGAGAAAATGGACGCGTGATTTCCAAATCTTGAGAGTCCTTGGAAACTGCAAATTTACATGTTGTGTACCTTAAGTCATGTAATTCTGTCTCATTCATGAACTCCTCGTGGTCTTTCTCCCAAATGTTGCTTTGTTGTCGACTTCTTTCAGTAGAATTTTGCAAAAATTAAAATAGAACACGAAAGTTGAGATCTGCCGCTCTATAAAGAGGATCTTGATTGTTGCTAAATCACTCCAGGATCTTAGGTGTTTATACCGTCCAACAACACCGAAGGACTTGTTACATCCTGTGAGCGTTATTTTTCTAAACTTTGTGCGTTCATTGGCCAAAAATTTAACAAGACACGTACTGTTCGCGAAATTAAACGTTTGATGAAAACAGTGTGAAGTATTGTAAATGTCTTACGTCCTCCGTGACATACTTTAGATCATACTTCGATCCCGTCTATCATAGCCGACTTGGCCTGAGAGGGAAACAACGTCGCAACAGACAAACGAAGATAATAATTGATCAAAAACAAAACAAAACAAAAAACCCAAAACAAAACAAGCAAAAAAAACTTCCTCACATCGAACATGGGAATTGAATTCACTTTCTTGGTACAACGGCGACGAGCTTTACCGTCAAGCCACAGACGCCAGTAGTACACCGTGTTTTTATTGACTAGCCGTATAGTTCACTAGAAAGCAGCCACATGAAATAGATCTTTGCGCTTTGTTTCCTTTTCTGTTTTATCTACCCCCCCCCCCTCTTTACAAGCTAACAAGTCACAAAGCCTGGATAATAATACAAAGCAAATATCATATTTTACCTTCACAAGTCCTGTTGGCCACAATATCTTCAACTTGGTCCAGAACGTCAAAGTCAGAAGCTTGGATCACATTTTTAGACCCTGAAGCAATGTTCTCAAGATCTTGTTGGTTGGCATGGGCAATTCCAATAGCAATGATGGTCACCCCAGCCTGTTTCAGTCTTTCTGCTGCTGCCTTTGCTGGAGAGAAGAAAAGTGGGGGTGGGTCAGCCCTGCGCGTTATAATAATACGTTTTGTGGTTCATACAACTCATCTCTCCGGTCTTTAAGGAATCACCGCTGTCACTATCATCGCCAGTTTCGGGCGTTTTCTATACAAGTTTACGCCCCCATCGACAAATTTTAGACAACTTAGGAGGTGGGCAGCTTCCACCTTGCCAATCAGGGACAGCCAGGATTAAGCGGAGGTCGCAACATTCTCGCAGACGGGCGGATGTAGGATACTCGATTTATAAAAGAAAAAGCTTTCCTGATCGGGAATCAAGCTGACGACTTCAGCGTGCAACGACAAAGAGCCTAACCGTTACACCAGTGTGCCCTTTCTCGTCACATGCGCGTAGTTGGTTGACAATAAACAACCTGTCAATGTTAGTGAGAGACGGAACTACACGTAGGCATATCTTATCACTTTGGAAATCATACAAAGTCGTATCGAAAGCCTTTTTCAATGAACAGACAAATGCAGACCTCAGTTTAATTGAATACAATTTATGAAGACACTCCCCCCCCCCCTTCGCCCCCAGGGAAATATAGCATACCGCTACCTCAGAATTACAAAGTCCTATCTGATGTTTTTGGCTGGGTTTGAGTTACCAAGACCACGAGGTCAGAAACAAAATGTATACTCTGTCTGCTTTATCAAAATTGTAAGATTATTCAGAGTGGTTACCGAGATATTCAAAGTATTGCATTCGAAAAATCTTGACATATTGTCAAAGTCAGAAGCTTGGATCACATTTTTTTC